GGTAAAAGAAGATAAATGGCAACGTGTGAAGGTTTACGTTTAATTTATTAAACTCATAGAGAGCAGTTATTACCAGTAAAGCGGATCATAATTTCTCTAGTGATTGATCTTTTAAATATTGCAGATTACAACACCCTACACAAGAAAGCTCAATTTAGAATGAATTTGGTAAGGTTGAAACGGGTGAAGTTAGACAGTTAGTGAAATCATTAAGATTATACGTCAAATGGTTGAATTTATTCAATTATGGAACAATTATACTCCTGTGTATTTTAATGTTCACTACAACAGTCTTGAGCACATTATTTAAGGATAAAATGGTAATTGTGATAGATAGTGCAGAAAAAGTAGTACAGAAAATGTAAAAGTATGAAAGAGAAAATAAAAAGTAGAAAAAGTAAGATAATTGAGTATTTATAAAAGAAAAACTTCCTGAAAAGGAAAATGCAACAAACTTTAAAATACATCCAAAAAATAAAGTGTAACAAACATTAAAATACGAAGAGAGTAACAAAAATGTATTTTATAGATAAAATAAAGAAAAACTAAAATAAATTGGAGTAGTTCTTTTTAGCAAATTTAACCGATTGAGAAAGAAACATAACTCATATCTTACTTCCTTAGAGCATCTTAAATGGGATGGTGCATTGGAGCTGATGTGGCATAGGAGAGAGATAAAGATAGAATAAATATTTGGATGAAGTGGTGTGTGAAAAAATTAAAAAGACGAGAGAGATAGAGGTAAAAATGGACCAAGGTCTATGACAAGGTCCATATAATTACACGGGATTCAGGGTGGGAAAGTTGATGAAAAGTGGGTTAAAAGTGATACAAAAAAATAAAAATAAAAATAAATTAGGAAATACGTGAGTCCTACACATAAAAATTGTGAAATAAAAAATGGGACTCATGCGTAAGGGTGTGTAAGAGACCACACCCTTGCATTGGAGTTGCTCTTAGAGTTGGGTAAAATAACCTACTCGTTACTTTACTTGGATTGTTACACTTCGTGAAAGAAAGAAATGTATAGTGTTGGTAAAAAATTACGGTATACTGTATAAGAAATGTAGTTGGTAAAATAATTAAGCCGAAATAGAATTTATGTAGTATCAGATAGGCCCTTGTTTTATGTTTACGCGGTCGTATACAACGTTCTAAAAGACGTAAGACGTGCGGAGGGTTCAACCTTTGAAGCTTAGGCGACAACTATTGCTCAACAATCCTGACATATTTCGGCAAATTTAGAACAATAAACAAGTGTGCCCAAAGAAGTGTTTGGGTTAGGCGCCTTTTGTCTTGCTTATGAAGTATGTAGGGCATTTAGGTTAGGAAAATTTTAGTGTACATGAATTATACACAAAACCTCTTAGTTGTTTGTTTACACATGCAATTCGTTTAAAATGAGGCCGGATTTGATGTCAAATTGTCTTTGTACGCAAGCAATGTACACATTTTGTGTACATCTTGTGTACACCAAGAATGGTCCTTTAAGTTAAGCCAAGGCCCTCCTAGGCGGTCCTTATCACGCTTTTAGAAACATTGATCGTGTACTACTCATAATCATCTTCAACGCCCACTTTGTACAAATTCATAGGTAAAATGATACTTCATCCGTCCTTGTTTAATCTTCCTGATTTGGATTGCTCTCATATCAAAGGAAATATATTTTTTCCATTGACTTCGCCCTTTTACTGGGAGGTAAACTTTACTGTATAATAAACTATTTTGACACAGTTCAACACTGTTTTGCACTATGTTGTCATTACTATTTACAGGTATTAGAGTAAATTGATATAATTTTATTTACCAAATAGGAAAGATGGTTGTATTTAGAGACATTCATAAAAGAAAGTGAGAAATCTTTAAAGAAAAGAGGGAGTATATTTTACGCTACCTCATTATAACTTCATCAAATAGAAAGAATTCACCATGTTCTTTTTTTGGATGAAATGTAAATTATATTAACACCCAAGCAAAAATAACATTTACAATGTGTCGAAAAATCTAAAGCCCCCCCCCCCTATTTCGAGTGAAAAGGAGAGGGTTGTCTGGAGCTTTTAATCTATTCTAAATCCAAGATAGCCAATACACGTGGCCCAAAAAATCTAAGTCTATGACCGGTGCTGCAAGGTGCACGCACTCGAATATAAACTAGCTAATGCCGTTGCATTCAGAAAAAATCTTGAATCTTCTCAAAAGTTGATCATCTCATATAGGTAGATACTGAATAGTATCTTGTAAACCATATGTTTGACCTTAGCAACCACATCATCTTCGGTATTATTTCCTTAATCAAATCTGATAGAATTCCTCGCTTGCCAAATATAGTATGCCACGGAAAAAAAGGTTAACTGGGCTGCCTTCACCTTCATGTTTGCTCCTTTGCGGGTCTTGGAAATCCACTTTACCGCACTTAACAATGTATTCATTTGATGCCCAAATCTCATCCATCTTTTGATCCTCTCCCACCTACACGTGAAAGGGCAAAGAAAAAGTAGGTGTGGAATTGTTTTCTATCCACCTTTGCATAGGTCACAACGATTCACGATATGAAGGTACCTGAGACTATCTCGAGTGGGTAGCCTATTTTGTAGGATTTCCAAACATTAAACGAGAGTTTTTGTGGAATATAGGATTTCCAAATGAAGCTCATAGGGGTCCTAACAGTCCCCTTAATTACTCTCAAAAGTTCATAGATCTTGACCGAAATCAGTTTGTCATTAATGGATCTAGCATTAAGGCCCATAATGGTTTCGTTGAAATTATTAAAACACCCACGTATTTTATTACGTATTTGGTACAACCTCTTCAAGAATTGTGATTTGTGAGTCACGACCGTGTGCGACGAATTCCCACACACTTTCACCCCGAAGGTATACGCCATTAACCCACCCAACCCAAAGGGTATCCTTCTTCTTATGTAAGTCCTAAAGTGTGCAAGAAAGGAGATCGTCATTCCAAACCTTAGCATTATGAATGCCAAGTCCCCCTTCCTCTTCAGGGAGACAAATGTCATCCCATGCCACTTTGACATACTTGCCACCCCATAAGAAAATCCTACATATGGAAACTATCCTATCCAAAATTGTTTGGGGAACCGGGAAGACTTGGAGCCAAAAAGATTGGACCCCTTGGATCACCGATTGAATCAGCTCCACCTTCCCAGCATAGGATATTGTCTTCGTATTCCATGCCTATAAGAAATCATTGACCATGTCAAGTAGCGGTGCATATTGGGAAACCGATACTTTAAGGGGGGCAAGAGGGATCTCAAGGTATCTAACCGGGAAAGTCCCTTGCCCAAAGTCGACAAGGTCTAACAAGTTTTGCAATTCAAGGTCTCGCACACCACCCACAAAAATGTTCGATTTCCCTTGATTTACTCTAAAGCCCGATACATCTCCAAACTCTTTAAGAGTATTAACTAATATTTCTACAGAATATGTATCACTCCTCGAAAAGAGAATAAGGTCATCTGCATGTTCTAGGATTCACCATGTTCTAAAATGCGGGAAGTGTGGAAATACCCCAAGGTCGAGGCTCAAGCCAAAATAAGTGAAGCCTAGGCGAGAGTATGCAGAGTACGTATAGGCATAAAAATGTGTTTTATATTTTTATTGATGATTACTACGACGTATTTATAGGGTTATATTAAAAAAAAATGTCCAAAAAATACTATATACAAGATTGCACCTAATTTTTACCTTATTAAATATATAAAGTTTAGAAATGTATAGAAAGTGCAAACGCAAAATGGTATATTGTTGCTTTTAACTATTTCGTATTATTTCCTATTAGGTTCCTTATATAACATTTTTATTTAAAGAAGAACACTTATTTATTACTAATAATGAAAGTGATAAGAAACAAAGCAAATCAATAGGTCAGAGCTACCCTGGAGTTAGACATAGAACTGACCAGCCCCGAGGACCGTCAAGATCGCTAATCCCGCATCATGGTAGACTAATCTAACAACATCGATGTACTTGCTACTAGAAAGAGAAGAGATTTGACCAGCTACCTCCAAAGATGCCACTTTCGATTTTACCAACTATTGGGAAGGGAGAAGAGGTTTGTCCTGCCACCTTCAAAGAAAGCATCATGTTCACAAGATCTAAAAGAATTCCAGACGGTGCTTGTGACACCGCACCCGAATGTCCTTGGAGATTTGATTTAAATATTCAAATTTATGTATTGAATTTCCGATCTCCAAACAATTGTAAAACGATTAATGTTCTACGTAGTGCATGGTTGAATATCGTACTGTTCAAACTCGTACACTAGTGTCGGGTTTCGCAAATACTTATTCGGGACTTATTAATAAATAAAAGAGCTCAACATTACCTAAATAGTGATACATAATCCTTCAAGACAATTTGAGGAAGGTCGGGTGGCCCAAACATTATTTTGGGCCAACCTGCTAAAAATAGCAAGTGTTCGAGAATGGCGTTCTAAACCCACTCGGGAGTGACCCACACGGCTAGTAGCCCAATAATACGTATGACAAATGTCAAATAAGTGATTGAATGATTAAGGAAGAATACAAATGCCTATAACCCCACCTTGGGCCTTATTGAGCTAAATAATGGGAGTAGGATTTTCCTTCTATAATATTCATCAAGTAAATTATTGGGATGAGCCTACAAATATTGGAGATCAATAATGTGATTTAGGAAGTTGACTTGTTCTAAGTAAATTAGGATGAGTACAAAAAGACATTTTTGACAAAGATAAAACAATAGGACCCATCTTCCCATTTTTGGAAGTATTGGTAGATATTTTGGACCCCAAATTTAATGGGATCAATTGGGAACCACTCCACATGATATTAGTACCTGCAAAACAAATAAAAATGGGTTAGAAGACTTACCTTGGCCGGCCATAATGGAGGGGAGCTGCACATGACTTGATAGGAATCAAAGCTTGGGCCACCATCCTTATTTTCGCACAAATTGGTGTGCTGTTTGTCTCCTCTCATTATTGGAGCTATACTCGACCAAACAACGTGAATAATATGTCCTTGGATAGACTTTGAAGTCTAGTATCTCAATTGAGTGGTCTTTTTTCGAGGAGAGAAGGCTTATCTTACAAAAATCGAGCTGGAGTGAGTGGTGGTCTGTGAACTCGAGCTGTGAGAGTGCTGAGACTGTTTGGTTGATATCTCGAGTTTTACCAATCCAATTAAGGAGTGTGAGATACCGAAAGAAAGCTCTCAAGACGAGGAATCCGTCAAGGTCTGGTTTGCATCAATCGGAGTAGAGGAAGGCTTCCAAATCATCCGAGCAAAACACAACCTCGCAGAAACGGATTTACTCTTCTAAAGTGAGTTGTTAACCCCAAATCCTTTCCATTCATTTTCCAAATGATATGAACGATTTGTGGGACTATTGTACACTAATCCAAGTGTATAATATGTCCTTGAAAAGTTATTTTATTTATGTAAAGGTTAGATACTAACCTAGAGCAAATATTGGAAAACTAGGAATCGAGTTAGCCGGAAAACACCCGTTCTAGGGGCTGTTTTCGTATCAACGATTAGGGGTTGAAATAGCAACTTGAGGAAGCTGTTTAACACCCATTTTCAAGCAAGGGATCAGTTCTCAATCTTCCTTGGCCGAGGCTTTGGTCATTGGATCGAGAAGGAAGGTTTTAAAGCTCATTTGAGGTGAGGACCGACATCTAGTTGCTTACAACTTGTAGGTTATGCATAAGATTACCTAAATGCTTAAATCATGTTTTTTGTGAATAAATATGCTTGAACATGATATGAATGATAAGTAATGGACTTGATCATGAATTGAAACCATATTGATGAATATGGGGTTATGTGAGAAAGAAGTATGCTAAAATGGTAAATTGACTTTTCCAACTCATGTATGAATGTTATGTGTATGTAAATGTATAATTGCATGATGATGCTTAGCACATGGGAGGCTGCCACGTATCTATTGATATGGAGGGGCTACCATAAATGATAAATGAGTTGTAGGAACAATCTTAATGGTATTGTGATGCTAGTTAAGGATTGCCCTAAATGTGTTAGAATCAAACTCAAGGTTTGAGTTTGTTTGTGATGAACTTGAATGAGATTCAAGTGTCAATTGTGAAATCATGGAGTAGGAGATCTATGGTGTGATATTATGAAGTAGGAGATCTATGGTGTGATATTATGAAGTAGGAGATCTATGGTGTGATTTTATGAAGTAGGAGATCTATGGTGTGATTTTATGAAGTAGGAGATCTATGGTGTGATTACATGAAGTAGGAGATCTATGATGCGAGTGCATGATGATGTACTCGAGCCGAACTCTAGAAATGAGAAGTTATGTTAGGGTTGGACCCTATGTATGTCGTGATTATTAGTCACAGGGTTTGGGAAATGTTTTGTAACAAACATGGGCCTTGAGCCGGCTACTTGACTTTATATAAAGTAAGTATATATTTTGAAAGGGGTAATTTGAGATTACGGCCTATACTATATTATCACCCTATTTGAGGGTCTTGTGTGTTAAATACTTGTTGTATATCTATTAGATGCCTGCCACACCAGCACTTTATAGCCCTATAGAGTGCTGACCCCTTCGGGGGCGTCCCACCACCATTTTTCAGGTTGAGGCTAGAGCTTGCTTCCTGTGCTCGTTGCTCGAGAGATCATATAGGAGGGAAGACTTGGTTCGTGCTTCCTCCATTCTGTTTTTAAACATTAATAAACATGCTCATGAATATTTTACTATAGAGCCTGCGTGCTCATGGTTGCCACGTGTGGCATTTGTTTTCAAACTATGTTTTCCGCTACGTATTCAATTGCTTATTATGTTGTTTATGGATGGCTTACGTGTGAATGATATTCGGGACGCCTTGTATAATATGAATGTGTTGGACTGCGGTTGACCATTCGTATTGTACGGCGGGTTGTTGACGTGTCCGGGGAGGTCCGGGGCGTGACAATTAAGTTGGTATCAGAGCCTTAGTCCCTAAACTTCATAATGAAGTCTCAAAATTCTCTTTTCAAAATGATTTTTGAAAACCATGAGCAAAAACGTTTTGTACTTAAGAACTTTTGGTGTTTGAGTTGCAAGGTCTCTAATTGTTAAGATGGCGCCCTTAACGATTGGTATGGCGGTGACTTGGCCCAAGAGATGTCTTAAGTGCCTATCTGTCAGTTGACATTTGAAACGAGTCTAATGACTCATTCTAATTATTTCTTTCAGTGATGGAGGGTGATGGTGGTATTATGAATAGGGAGAACTCGGAAGGGTTTGCACCGGGTGGAACCGGGCATGCCAACCGAGAAAAGCCCTTAGGACCAAAGGTGCACGAAACTCTTGAAGCTCAAATCGTGAGTGGTGGTCATGTTAAGACCAAGGAAGAATCACCTTGTTATGGCAAAACTAAACCACTCAAGGCTTCGGGTGACGAAGGAGATGATTTGAGTGATGAGGACCTTGATGGTGCACCCATTGAACAAATGGGCATGGTCATAGATTGGCTTCAACGTGAACGTGTGAGGCTTATACAAAAACGCCAAGCTAGGCAAGCTGAGGGCATACCATTAGTAAGGAAAAGGAAGCGGGGAGACAACGATTCCCAAAGACATTCAAGGAGGACAAACGTTGAGGGTGACAAAACCTTCAGGGCGCAGACACTATCACTTGAGTGGAGTCGAGGCTTAGGTGGCCCGAACTCGAGGTCAAAAGGTCCGAGGGTACCTAAGTGCAACAATTGCAAGAAACACCACTCGGGTAAGTGTCAGGACCCTCCCAGGTGCTATCAATGCACAGAGGTCGGGCACACGAGAGTGAGTTGCCCACAAATTGTGCAAAACCAAACTTCGGGGTCAAGTGGTGGAACTACAAGAAATGAAAACCAAACCGAGGTTTCTCAAGGGAGCAGGGGACATGGGGGAGCAAGCACGAGCAACGCGCCATCCGTGAACCAAGGAAGGACCCAAGCTAGGGTCTATGCGATGACGGAGGCGGATGCTCAAGCTAACCTGGATTCCGTTGAAGGTAGTACCTCTTGTATACTTGTTTTTTATCCTTAATTAGTCCATAAATTGAGGTTGCTAGTCGTTGGGATCATTGTACAAAGCTTTGGGGTCAAACGGAGCGAAATCGGGCGAAAGACGGCTGATTTCCGCCAACGCACACCAGGCTGGACCATACGCACGGCCGTGCGTTGTCCGTGCGTTGGTCCGTGCGTTGGTGGCAGTAGCAACCGGGAAGAAATTGCTATACGCACGGCCGTGCGTTGTCCGTGCGTTGGTCCGTGCGTTGGTGGCAGTAGCAACCGGGAAGAAATTGCTATACGCACGGACGTGCGTTGTCCGTGCGTTGGTCCGTGCGTTGGTGGCAGTAGCTCCGTTTTGAGGTTATAAGACACGCACGCCGTGCGTACCTCCTAGGCACGCCGTGCGTACCTCCTGGGCAGCCCAAAGTCGACTTTTTCGCGCCGTATTGCAACGTTAAGACCCGTTCTTGATCCCAAACATGTGTGTGAACATTGTAACCTTCTATAAATGAGTAGGGAGAGTAGGAGAAATGTCTTACATGGTTCATGAATGTAGGGACACTAAAGATTAATGGGAAGGATGCGCGAATCCTTACCAATACCGGGGCGCAACGTTCATTTGTGAATGAAGCGTTCGCCAAGAGATTGGAAGTGCAATCCGCACTGTTGATGCAAACCTTAGTGGTATCAACACCACTAGGGGATGACGTGGAAAGAACTTGTTACTATCCATCTTGTGGGGTGGAAGTTAAGGGTCAAACCTTGACGTGTGACTTCGTACCGCTGAGCATGATTGAATTCGATGCAATCCTAGGGATGGATTGGCTAGAAAGGAACCATGCTAGGGTAGATTGCTACACGAAGGTTCTTGAACTCGAAGGCAATGATGGGGAGACCCTACGCTTCGAGGGCGATCGAGGGAGATCAAATAGCTGTATCATATCCGCCGTGAGAGCGAGAAGTATGATGAGAAAGGGATGCCACGCATATCTAGCATACGTGGTTGACAAAACCAAAGAAGAAACGAACATCGATGATGTGAGGGTGGTTTGTAAGTATCCGGGTGTCTTCCCTAAACACCTACCGGGGCTTCCACCTGATAGAGAGATTGAATTTGTGATCGAGGTCGAGCCCGGCACCAAACCAATCTCCATACCGCCATACCGTATGGCACCCGCTGAACTTAACGAGTTGAAAACCCAATTGCAAGAGCTTTTGGATAATGGTTTCATTAGCCCAAGCCACTCCCCGTGGGGAGCACCAGTTCTTTTTGTGAAAAAGAAGGATGGGACACTTCGAATGTGTATTGACTATCGTCAACTGAACAAGGTCACAATCAAGAATAGGTATCCTTTGCCTAGAATTGATGACTTGTTTGATCAACTACGAGGAGCAACCGTGTTTTCGAAGATTGACTTGAGGTCGGGGTACCATCAATTGAAGATTAAGGAAGACGACATACCAAAGAGTGCTTTCCGCACAAGGTATGGGCATTTTGAGTTCCTTGTTATGTCGTTTGGGTTAACAAACGCCCCAGCGGCATTCATGGACTTGATGAACCGAGTATTCCATAAATACTTGGATCGATTCGTGATTGTGTTCATAGATGACATTTTGATTTATTCAAAGAGTGAGGAAGAGCATGAAGAGCACTTGATACTCGTTCTTGAGACACTACGGGAGAAGCAACTTTATGCCAAATTTTCTAAATGTGAATTTTGGCTAAAGGAAATTGGCTTTCTCGGGCATGTGGTTTCGGGATCGGGAATTGCTGTTGATAATAAGAAGATAGAGGCCATTACCGAATGGGAGAGACCAAAGAATGTCAAGGAAATTCGTAGTTTCCTTGGATTGGCAGGCTATTACAGAAAGTTCGTGGAAAAGTTCTCTGTTTTGGCGTCGCCGTTGACGAAGCTCACTCGAAAGGGAGCTAAGTTTATATGGGATGACAAATGTGAGAAAGGATTCATCGAACTGAAGAAGAGATTGACCGAGGCACCGGTACTTGCATTACCCAAACAGGGTGTGGGGTACGATGTCTATAGTGACGCGAGCATCCAAGGGTTTGGGTGTGTGTTGATGCAGGAAGGGAGGGTAATTGCCTATGCTTCACGACAATTGAAGAAGCATGAGGTAAATTATCCTACCCATGATCTGGAGCTGGGAGCGGTAGTGTTTGCACTAAAGATTTGGAGACATTATCTCTACGGAGAGACATGTCACATATATACTGACCATAAGAGCTTGAAGTACGTGTTTACTCAGAAGGAGTTAAACATGAGATAGAGACGGTGGATGGAGTTGATAAAGGACTACCATCTAGTTATTGAAGTACCATCCAGGTAAGGCAAACGTTGTAGCAGATGCCCTCAGCCGGAAGAGTTCGTCTGGGGCATTGTTGACTAGTTTGAGGGCACTGAGGGCCCAATTGGATGTATCTAGCGACGGTGCCTTATTGGCACGGTTCGAAGTGAGACCGACTTTACTTGATGAGATCAAGAAGGGTCAAGAGACGGACACAGAACTTATGAAGGTCCGGGAACGCATGCAAGCGGGACCGGTGGAGGATTTCAGGGAAAGAGATGATGGTCTCTTGTTATTTCGTGACCGAGTGTGTGTACCGTCAGATGATGAGCTCCGAAAGTCCATCTTAGAGGAGGCTCATTCATCGGCTTATGCCATGCACCCGGGGGGCACGAAAATGTACCGTGATCTGAAAGAAAGTTACTGGTGGTCTGGAATGAAGAGGGAAATAGCCGAATACATTAGTCGATGCCTTACTTGTCAACAAGTTAAGGCGGAACATCAGCATCCAGCAGGCTTATTGCAGCCACTTTCCATTCCTGAATGGAAGTGGGAACACGTGACTATGGATTTCGTGGTAGGTTTACCACGGACAATCAGGAACTATGATGCAGTTTAGGTCGTTGTGGATAGGCTCACAAAGAGTGCACACTTCTTGCCTATCAACACTACCTACCCACTTGAGAGGTTAGCCAAATTGTATACGGATGAGATCGTGAGGCTGCATGGGGTCCCAGTGACCATTGTATCCGATAGAGACCCACGATTCACATCACGTTTTTGGCCGAAATTTCAGGAGTCTATGGGAACAAGGTTGAAGTTCAGTACTGCTTTCCACCCACAGACGGATGGACAGTCTGAAAGAGTCATACAGATCTTGGAAGAAATGTTGAGGGCTTGTGCATTGGAGTTCCAAGGAAGTTGGGACAACCACTTAGCACTTGTGGAGTTTGCTTATAACAACAGTTATCAGGCAAGCATCGGCATGCCTCCATACGAGGCATTGTATGGGAGGAGGTGTCGTACACCGTTATGCTGGGACGAGGTTGGCATGGCCAAACTCGAGGGTACTGAGTTGGTTGAGGTCACCAAATCAAAGGTGAAATTGATTCGAGAGAGACTCAAAGCGGCTCAGGATAGGCAAAAGAGTTATGCAGATAAGCGTCGAAGAACCCTAGAGTTTAAGGTTGATGACGAGGTATTCTTGAAAGTTTCTCCTTGGAAAGGAATCATTCGATTTCAAACCCGAGGGAAGCTTAACCCACGGTACATAGGTCCATTCAGAATTATAGAGAGGATTGGGGCCGTTGCATATCGTCTACAGTTGACTCCTGAGTTAGAGAAGATACATAATGTGTTTCACGTATCCATGCTTAAGAAGTATGTGCATGATCCCTCTCACGTATTGGAGAAGCCACCTGTAGAGGTACGTGAGGATTTGAACTACTCTGTTCAACCTATCAAGGTCACCGATAGAAAGGTGAAGAAACTGAGGAGCAAAGAAGTCCCAATGGTTAAAGTACTTTGGAAGAGCGATCGGGTCGAAGAAGAGACATGGGAGACAGAGGCTTTGATGAGGAAGCAGTATGCTTTCCTATTCGAGTAGAGCTGTGAATTTCGGGGACGAAATTCCTGTTAAGGGGGGGGTGAACTTGTGACACCGCACCCGAATGTCCTTGGAGATTTGATTTAAATATTCAAATTTATGTATTGAATTTCCGATCTCCAAACAATTGTAAAACGATTAATGTTCTACGTAGTGCATGGTTGAATATCGTACTGTTCAAACTCGTACACTAGTGTCGGGTTTCGCAAATACTTATTCGGGACTTATTAATAAATAAAAGAGCTCAACATTACCTAAATAGTGATACATAATCCTTCAAGACAATTTGAGGAAGGTCGGGTGGCCCAAACATTATTTTGGGCCAACCTGCTAAAAATAGCAAGTGTTCGAGAATGGCGTTCTAAACCCACTCGGGAGTGACCCACACGGCTAGTAGCCCAATAATACGTATGACAAATGTCAAATAAGTGATTGAATGATTAAGGAAGAATACAAATGCCTATAACCCCACCTTGGGCCTTATTGAGCTAAATAATGGGAGTAGGATTTTCCTTCTATAATATTCATCAAGTAAATTATTGGGATGAGCCTACAAATATTGGAGATCAATAATGTGATTTAGGAAGTTGACTTGTTCTAAGTAAATTAGGATGAGTACAAAAAGACATTTTTGACAAAGATAAAACAATAGGACCCATCTTCCCATTTTTGGAAGTATTGGTAGATATTTTGGACCCCAAATTTAATGGGATCAATTGGGAACCACTCCACATGATATTAGTACCTGCAAAACAAATAAAAATGGGTTAGAAGACTTACCTTGGCCGGCCATAATGGAGGGGAGCTGCACATGACTTGATAGGAATCAAAGCTTGGGCCACCATCCTTATTTTCGCACAAATTGGTGTGCTGTTTGTCTCCTCTCATTATTGGAGCTATACTCGACCAAACAACGTGAATAATATGTCCTTGGATAGACTTTGAAGTCTAGTATCTCAATTGAGTGGTCTTTTTTCGAGGAGAGAAGGCTTATCTTACAAAAATCGAGCTGGAGTGAGTGGTGGTCTGTGAACTCGAGCTGTGAGAGTGCTGAGACTGTTTGGTTGATATCTCGAGTTTTACCAATCCAATTAAGGAGTGTGAGATACCGAAAGAAAGCTCTCAAGACGAGGAATCCGTCAAGGTCTGGTTTGCATCAATCGGAGTAGAGGAAGGCTTCCAAATCATCCGAGCAAAACACAACCTCGCAGAAACGGATTTACTCTTCTAAAGTGAGTTGTTAACCCCAAATCCTTTCCATTCATTTTCCAAATGATATGAACGATTTGTGGGACTATTGTACACTAATCCAAGTGTATAATATGTCCTTGAAAAGTTATTTTATTTATGTAAAGGTTAGATACTAACCTAGAGCAAATATTGGAAAACTAGGAATCGAGTTAGCCGGAAAACACCCGTTCTAGGGGCTGTTTTCGTATCAACGATTAGGGGTTGAAATAGCAACTTGAGGAAGCTGTTTAACACCCATTTTCAAGCAAGGGATCAGTTCTCAATCTTCCTTGGCCGAGGCTTTGGTCATTGGATCGAGAAGGAAGGTTTTAAAGCTCATTTGAGGTGAGGACCGACATCTAGTTGCTTACAACTTGTAGGTTATGCATAAGATTACCTAAATGCTTAAATCATGTTTTTTGTGAATAAATATGCTTGAACATGATATGAATGATAAGTAATGGACTTGATCATGAATTGAAACCATATTGATGAATATGGGGTTATGTGAGAAAGAAGTATGCTAAAATGGTAAATTGACTTTTCCAACTCATGTATGAATGTTATGTGTATGTAAATGTATAATTGCATGATGATGCTTAGCACATGGGAGGCTGCCACGTATCTATTGATATGGAGGGGCTACCATAAATGATAAATGAGTTGTAGGAACAATCTTAATGGTATTGTGATGCTAGTTAAGGATTGCCCTAAATGTGTTAGAATCAAACTCAAGGTTTGAGTTTGTTTGTGATGAACTTGAATGAGATTCAAGTGTCAATTGTGAAATCATGGAGTAGGAGATCTATGGTGTGATATTATGAAGTAGGAGATCTATGGTGTGATATTATGAAGTAGGAGATCTATGGTGTGATTTTATGAAGTAGGAGATCTATGGTGTGATTTTATGAAGTAGGAGATCTATGGTGTGATTTTATGAAGTAGGAGATCTATGGTGTGATTACATGAAGTAGGAGATCTATGATGCGAGTGCATGATGATGTACTCGAGCCGAACTCTAGAAATGAGAAGTTATGTTAGGGTTGGACCCTATGTATGTCGTGATTATTAGTCACAGGGTTTGGGAAATGTTTTGTAACAAACATGGGCCTTGAGCCGGCTACTTGACTTTATATAAAGTAAGTATATATTTTGAAAGGGGTAATTTGAGATTACGGCCTATACTATATTATCACCCTATTTGAGGGTCTTGTGTGTTAAATACTTGTTGTATATCTATTAGATGCCTGCCACACCAGCACTTTATAGCCCTATAGAGTGCTGACCCCTTCGGGGGCGTCCCACCACCATTTTTCAGGTTGAGGCTAGAGCTTGCTTCCTGTGCTCGTTGCTCGAGAGATCATATAGGAGGGAAGACTTGGTTCGTGCTTCCTCCATTCTGTTTTTAAACATTAATAAACATGCTCATGAATATTTTACTATAGAGCCTGCGTGCTCATGGTTGCCACGTGTGGCATTTGTTTTCAAACTATGTTTTCCGCTACGTATTCAATTGCTTATTATGTTGTTTATGGATGGCTTACGTGTGAATGATATTCGGGACGCCTTGTATAATATGAATGTGTTGGACTGCGGTTGACCATTCGTATTGTACGGCGGGTTGTTGACGTGTCCGGGGAGGTCCGGGGCGTGACGGTGCTGATCCAGTAGCACCGCCCAGAGCCGTTTTTTGTCTTCTTCCATCAACCTCCATAATGACCTCCATCACTTAGACCATGGCTAGATTCCCTAACTCGCGGCAGTTCCAACTCACACAATCCATCCAAGTAGTCACCACACCCGACTGGCCAAAGCTAGCGGGTACAGAAACACCCTACACCTGAGGGGAACAAAAATGTCGGATGTATCGGGAATTGAAAGAAACCAGACTAATGATTATCACTTGTGTAATTCACCAACCTTGTCACGATGACAAACCTTCAGCGGCGGCGGCGCATCCGACAGAGGATAGAAAAGCAACCACACACCTTATACGGCGAACTTACAAGCTTCAGCTAAATATCTCTTACCATCTTAAAAATAGATTTTTTTTTTAAATTTGACCGACATTTATGTAAAGAACTTCTGTTTTTCATGCTTAGGTTTCAATGTCTAGGTTCATTCAATTTTATGATTTTGGTGAGAACTCCCTATTTGACTCCCTTTTGAACACATTTCTACTATATGGGGCGTTTTTTTTGCCGTCTCACGCCTAGACACGACTAGTCTTCGCTTTTTGACGCCTTTTAGAACACTCACAATCTGTGATAAATATAAAACTAGTTAAAGGAAAAATAGTATTCTTTTTAAGATGTAAAAATATTATTAAAAATAAATTTAGAATTCTTTTTTCGATTCTATTCCAATTAAGATGTACCGCCTTCGTACCGTAGAAAGGTTTTCATGTGGATTACAATGTTTAATTGACCATAAAGTTAACTAATCTATGTCCGTAATTAGATTTTTTAGTATATAACATTTATATATTTAGAAATTAAATTAATTTTTTTATAAAGTCAGAAAAGATAAACTCAAATTTGATAAAAGTTGGATATATAAAATAAAAGATTAAGAAAACTTTATATTGATCGGAGAATATAGTGGACGAAAACCTTTGACTTGAATGAGACGAAGGTAGTATATGTTATGAACAACAACATCCATAATATAATCTCAAAAGAATTATACTCTAATCTCAAAAGAATTTGAGATCGGTTAACATAAATCGACATATGACACAAGAGTTAAAAATAATTAAGATATAGAGAACCTTTGACTTGAATGGGACGAAGGTAGTATATATTATGAACAACATTCATAATCTAATCTCAAAAGAATTATACTCTAATCTCAAAAGAATTTAAGATCGGTTAACATAAATCGACATATGACACAAGAGTTAAAAATAATCGTAATGGATAAAAGGTATCAAGCCTACACCTCTGTCATATACAGAGTATTTTTTAATTTTTTAAGCTTGTATGCTCAGTTTAATTTTTTTATGTTTTAATTTTCTTGTGTTCTTATTATATATGGAGTAAAAAATATTTTTTTCCCTATTTTTTATATTTGTATTGTAAGTAAAAATATGATTTTTAAATTGTAAAGATAGAATATAAAGAAAGTCTATAAATTACTGATATGAGAATATAAAAAGGAAAAAGGGTTAAATAAGTTTTTCTACTATTTTTAATCCGTCACTTAAACTCATGCACTAAAAATGTATCATATACGTACGTATACTTTTAAAATATGATCAACCAAACCATTTGACCTGCTATAGCAGGTAATTTTTTTTTTAAAATTAAATTAGGGACATTGATAAATCTTACAAAATTCATATAAATTTGAATAAATAATCTAATTATAATATAAAAGTAAAAATTTTAAATACATTAAAAAAAATCATAAAAAATAAAAAATAAAGTGAAAATAAAAAAAGTGAAAGATAATAATTTAAAAACCTTTTAAATAGATGTAGAATATACAAATATCTTTAAAATTAAAAAAATATGTTCTTTGATGTTTTGAAAATTTTCATTATTTTTGTATATATTTCTTCAAATTTAACAATTTTTTGAGTTTTTAAATATACAAAAAAAACTCGCTATTACAGGTCAAAAACTAATTAAATGATCAAATCGGTCAATTTTGTACTCCTCCGTTCCATAAAATAGTTCCCGCGTTGACTTGATCAGAGTTCAAGAAAGTGTGAATAAAGTGGAAATGTATAATTGTGGTTGAGTAAGTAAAAGGTAAATGAATGTGAACCACACAAAACTTTTTAAAAAGGTAAATGAGAACTTTTTTTTGAACGATCCAAAAAGGACACTGGAAACTATTTTGCGGGACGAAAGGAGTAAAATAGGCATATATGATGCTTTGTTGAGTAGAAGGGGCTTAATTGACGGAAATTCTATGGTTGCCGTTTGGGACGTATAATTCTATGGTTGCCGTTTGGGACGTATAATTCTATGGTTGCCGTTTGGGACGTATAATTCTATGGTTGCCGTTTGGGACGTATAATTCTATGGTTGCCGTTTGGGACGTATAATTCTATGGTTGCCGTTTGGGACGTATAATTCTATGGTTGCCGTTTGGGACGTATAATTCTATGGTTGCCGTTTGGGACGTATAATTCTATGGTTGCCGTTTGGGACGTATAATTCTATGGTTGCCGTTTGGGACTATTTTATTCCTATTTAGAGCTTTAGTCCGAAAAAGACTATCTAAATCAAGACCACCGACAAACCATATATCGGCAATGAACCCTAAAATCAACAATCAAAAGATAAACCGATAAACCCTGGGGCCAAATCCGTGTAGTGTTGTGTGCACAAGAACGTCGTAGCTGCAAAATATTGCAAAAAATGTATAGCAATCCTCGCTCCTCAATTTTCATCTTTTTGGGTTGGTCCAAAATGAATGTTATGTTTTCCTTTTTTGCAAAAAATATGTGGTGTTTATTATTTCACTTTATTGTACTCAAACCGTATCCACAAAATTTACTTTTCAACCATTTTATTAATAATTGTGTCAAATTAAAAGAGGACAATCAATATGAGAGGAAGATAGTACAATGTATTTGCCCAAAGTTCAAAGGGACCGTTCTGAGCTTGTGACTGGGATGCATCCTGGTTTCTAAAAACGAGTCAAGAAAACAAAAGGAAAGTGGAAACTAATCTAAACTCGATCTTTCATGCTAATAAATTAAAGATGGAGACTCAAATAGATCAAGAAAGAAAGAGTAAATGAAGAAGCAAAGAAAAAAGACCACATAAACAAGTGCATGATAAAGCAAATCACAGCTACTTAATTTTTTTTAGTAGTAAATGATTTATGTGATGGACTCTTAATAACTGATGGATGCGGCAATGACCTGGGAGCCGTTCATTCCTAAACTATTTGAAAAAGTGAATTTTAAAGTGATTTTAGAAAGAATGTTTAATAGTATTTGGAGAAAAAATGATATTGAGAGAGTAAAAGTTAATAGCGTTTAATAAAAGTGCTTTTTACTGAATGTATAATAAAAAAGTGAAAAATAATTTAAAACACTTGCAATCTACTTTCAATTTTTAATTTTACGTTATTTAATTTAAGTAGAACTTATTACTTGAAAATGTCGAATTTTCCTCTTTTTAAAAAAAGGAAAAATTGAAAATAATAATCCCAACTATTGCAGGTCCGCTGAAAATAATCTCAACTATTGATTATTTTTGTATAATCCCAACTATATAGACTATCTGCCAATAATGGTCCATGACCATATATTACCTCTATAAAAAGTGAATTTTAAATAAAAACTAAGCGTAAAAATTAAAAGTTTAGATTATTTAGAGGGATTACTTGTTATATCTCACCTCATCCACTTTAGAAACTACAAGAATTTATTTATAGGGACCATTATTGGCGGAAGGTCCCTAAAGTTGGGATTATTCTGTAATAATCAATAGTTGGGATTATTATGAGCGGACCGTCAATAATTGGGATTATTACTATCAATTTTTCCTTAAAAAAATCATAAAAACACTTCTTTAAAGTGTTACAAACACTAAATTTCGAGAAATGGGTGGTGATAGTAATTTAAGCCATTTTTGTGGGGTCATGCTCCTCTTCATTTCCTTCTCTCCATTTACTCTCTTCATTTTCTTTTCACCATATCTCTCTCCTTAAAAAAATAATTAGAAATAATTTTTTTACTTTCTCTACCCCACCATTTCACCACCTATCTTAATGGAGATGAGCCAAAGGGTGGAGCTAGGGGTACACAAAATTTGTATACAAATTTTGTGTACCCCATCTTTTTTCTGAGCCAAATTCATTTTTGTGTAACATGATAGTTTGATGAACTTGGCATTGGGTCTCAAGTCTCGACCAGAAATAGAAGTAATTGTGACAGGTTGTAAGCAGGGGGACCACACGGTGCAACTCCACTAGCAACAGTGTCGATTTTCATGGAGGATCCCTCCGTGGTGGGTGGAGCATTTTACTACGTAACACATTAACTAAAATAAATGTGATATTTTTAATAATCAAAATCAACCACTCCATTAATCAAGTGAATCATTTGCCAATTGAATCCAAGAAGTACACCATTTAGATAGTAGGTAATCTGACAAAACAAATTCTGACAATCGCCGTCCCTTGAACCAGATTCAGAATTTATCGTCTTAGCAATATAACTCGTTGATACATTAATGGGCACAAATGAGTCAAAGACGGTTACCACAGTCATTCTATCACTTACACCCAAATACAAAACCACAGTCTTACAATAGAAAGAGATAAAACAACAAACAAACACAGACAAATTCAGACCATCAAAATAAATAAAAGCAACTTAACAAATTTCTTCGCTCAACCTTCCAAAAACAACCGGTGGCGGTTCAGGAGAAGGTCGGATCACCTTCACATCGCCTTGATCGGCTCTTGAGTCGCCTCCAACCGAATCTCCCTATCCACGAACAAATTGCCGGAAGATGGCACCGCTCCTCGCCAAAAGACGATAGCAGACAAATAAAACTCTGGCGGTGAAACCCTAGAGACAGTACAAGAATCTAGGGCGCTGCAGCCTCCTCTTCGACTAACGAAATATCGATTTCCGCACTCTTCATCTCCAAGGCGGAGTTGTTGCCTTAACCCTGAAATTCGTTGATTATTCCTCACCCTTCACGATCGGCGAAATCAAGGAGATTGCCGATTTGCCGCCGCCTACATCTTTTAGAGGAGAACCATAGTGTCGGGGGATTCTAGGATCCGATTTTTTGTAATTCCTATTCATTATTTAAAATAAATGTGATTTAGATTACTTATTTCATACTTCCTCCGTATTTATAAGTTCACTACAATAGCATTAGACACGTTATTTAAGAAAGAAAACGTAGGGATAATGAATAGTGTAGAAAAAATATGAGAGAATGTGTAAAAGTATGAAAGAGAAGATAAAAAGTAAAAAAAGAATGCATAGTTGAGTATTTTTAAAGACAAAACTTACCATAAAAGGAAAATGTAGCAAACTTTTAAATACATCCCAAAAAAAGTGTAGCAAATTTTAAAATACGGAGGGAGTAGTCCGTTTTTGGATTCTTGAGTTTATTGCTTTTTAGAACTAAAGACAAGATTATGTTTTCTATTCACCTTTTTGGGATCTTAATGAAGGGG